AAATTTGTAGTCGTTAATCATAATATAAATTAATGTAATCAACAATTACAATAACAAATTATTTAAAATGATTAAAGTCATAATGTAATCGTAATATTGATTACGATTACAACATTTTTTAATTTGTAATCATGACTAAATTTTAATGATTAATGATTAATGATATTTCAATGACTATTTGGACTGAATAACAGGTATATTTTAAGATAAAAATTTTAAAAAGATACAGCTAGTTTATTGATCATTGTAGTGCACTTCATATGTATTATAGTTATTGATTAATGATAACCTATATTATGTAGGATATTGTAAAAATATAACAAAATAAATAAGAAGTAAATTTAACAATGATAAATGCAATTTTCAAATATTATAGAAAAAAATAACAATTAACAATACAAAATCATATTTTTTCAAGAAAAAATTATTTTTTAATAATAAACTAAACATAAATTATAATAATTATGCCATAATAATATAATAAGAATAACAATGAAAATATGTAATAATAAATAATAATAACAATTATAAACAATGTAAAAATCATAACATTTTTATAGTATATTTGCTTTTAATACAACGCGTTTTTCAAATAATTGATCGGATAATTTATGACTTCTTGGTTGATTTATCATTGTTGCCAATGAAAAAAGTCTTTCCACAGGTGCTGACGACGGAAGTGGAGTATTGTATCGAATAAAAACTTGTTTAATAATAGGATACTTTTCGAGATTATTTAGATTGTTTTCTTCATCTGACAAGAAATGTAGAACTTCTAATTCTGATTTTGTCGTACCAGTTGATGCCGAAGAAGAAGATCCGAAGTCAAAAAAGTCGTCCGTTGTTCGATTTATGATTGGTGATTTTTCTGAATGAAGTGGCGTGTTTTGTGCACTAATCACGTCATCAGCTGCTTTTTTGAAAAAGTGAATGAGCTTATCGTGATTTTCTATTTTCACACATGTTAACCAACGTTTTTTAAAACGCGGATATGAGAATGCTGCTATTGAAGCATTAACAGATTCAAGAGAAGAAAAATTTAAATAATTTTCAAATCTTTTATCAATACTTTTTAATATTGCATCAATTATAGGTTTGCAGTATAACCAGATACGTTCAGGTTTAGCTAACGTTTCAATTTTTCTTCTTAATGCCAGAAGACATGGTAGTACTACACCATAATAAGTATTTTTTTCACCTTGCATTATATCCAATGCTTCAGCCATTGGCGCTGTGCATAATAAATGTTCTTCAATATAATCAAAATCTTGTTCCCGCAAACAGTTTTTTTTATTTATATCTAAAGCATTATTTAGATTTGAAATATTTTTTTTTATATTTAATATCTGTCGAAGTGCATCGTATAAACTATTCCACCGCGTTTCTCCGGGCCTACTTAATGTATGTCCTAATATATTTTGTATAATTTCGGCCGATTTTGGCCGTCCAGCTAAATTCCAAAGAATATTACATTTATTAATTACTGAAACGTGTACTAATGACAATTCATCAGAGTTATTTATAACTTTATTTATATCTGCTGTTACACATAAATTAAGAGTATGTGCGAAACATCTAAAATGCATTGGCAATATACTTTCTATATCTGGCCCATGTACGTCACATTGAAGTTAATTACTTTCGTTTGATTCTAAATTAAATTCTGAGGTATCAATATTATCAACCGAATTTTCCTCTTCGATAAAAATTATATTTGTTCTCTTTACTCCAAACATTTTGAATGCTTTAACAAAATTACTCCCATTATCAGTAACTGTTGCGATAATTTTAGAAGGATTTAAGTTGAATTCCAAATGTATTTCATTAATTAGATCAGAAATTCTATCGTAAGTATGACTTCCTTTGAAACGACGACAAGCTAAAGCCTTTGATACCCGTTTTAAATCAGTTGATGAAATCCAGTGACACGTTACCCCTAGAAAACTCCTCTTTTTCCCAGACCAAATATCTACAGTAGTTCAAACAAATTGTGTATCTTTTAAGTTTTCATTTAATTCGATTTTATTTTTTTCATAATAAGTATCAATTTTTCGACAAAGAGATCGTCGGCTTAAAATATGAAGTCCGGAATTGGATATATTTAAAGTATCAAATATTTTTATGAAATACGGGTCTTCTACGCATCTCAAAGGAACCATTGAATGTAAAAAAAAATTCATAATTTCACTTTCGAAGTTTTCTTGTGTTGTTTTAATTTTTAATTGCTTAACAAAAGTTTTAATTTTTTTATTTGGTGGTCCAATTGATCTCAAATGATTTTTATATTCTTCAGCTGCATCATTGCCATGTCGACGTTTTAAATGTGTAACAAAATTAGAAGACGAATTTCCATAACCTTTAAGTTCAACAATTTTTGGCTCACATTTTACGCATTGAACCACCGTTTTACTTTCAGACGCACATGATTTTTCAGGTAAAAATTTAAAAAAAATACCATCAATTGATCGTCGAAGTGGTGGTGGAGAATCTGGAGATGATGCATTTTTATTATTTTGTGGTACAGAAGTTGAAGTTCCTTCGCTGTCACTCATTGTAGTTTGTACTTTGTAGTATATATATAGGACGAAAAACAACGAAATGAAACCAGTAATGTTTCAATGTTCCAAACCAACTAAATACAAACGATATTTTACTGTACGTATGTACGTTTATAGATAAATTTAGATAAAGAAACCTTTGAAAATTACAAGATAAAAAATATAAAAGTACAATTTATCGACCAGTAATAAGTGCCAATAGCCGATAGCGCCATGTAGCTCTAGAATTTATAAATAGCTGATGTATTGTACGTAAATTCATAATTTCAATAATATAATATAGTGGGTATAGACGCTGGATGGTATAATTCGTAATACAAGATTGTAGTTATGCGATAAATTTTGTGATAATGATTAACGATTACAAAAATGTAATCATGATTACTGATTATTTTGAAAAATGATTAAACGATTAATAACTAATGTAGTCCAATGAATTAATCGTAATCGATTACGTAATTTAATCGTAAATTAATCGATTACGCCCAACACTGACGTATGTACCTACGTCATTCTTAACCTAACAAGTGTAAAATAACCTTAATTTAGACGATTATGCCAAATTTCTTATGCATACAATACATCAATATAGGTAAGTACAGATTTCTAAGATATGTAGTAAACAATTAAAAAAAAAAATCAAGTCAATATGGGCAATATTAAAGAAAATAGGTTTTCATGGATATTTGAAAAAGGTCAAGGCTGAGTACAGGTAGCTGTGAATACGTTATTTATCAACTCCGCGGACCAGATGAAGCAGAAAAACTATATTTCCCAACCGAACTCTATAAATTTATATTTTCCTGACAGATAATATCACACTGAATCTTTATATATACATAAGTTACATTAACTTCAAATATTTTCCCAGAAATTACATTTTGTACGTAAATATTTGGCATATTTTCATAGTTTTAGCTGGTTATTTTGTGTTTGAACATAGGCCTAATTTTCCTTTATTTTCCACCTAAACTTTATAAAGTTATATTTTTCTGATGTACCAGTTTATGGCAAATATGATCATATAACTTTTGTCATAGTAATATAGGTATTTTTTTCCTAAATTACTTCGAAATAATGTATACTACATTACTGCGATAATCAAATATAACGTAATTACAGTGGTTTCTTTTTTGAACATAAGTCTATTTACCCTTCAATTTTTACCCAAACTTGATGAAATTATATTTTTCTGATAGACCATTTTATGACGAATAAATACATATAATTTTTGTCATAGTACTATGGTAATTTTATTTTTTTAATTACTACGAACAATAATATTTCGTGACGATCCGAAATTGATTTTCACCCCATTTTTCGGTCTTAGGGTTGATGGAAATTTTCCAACAGTATAATATGACTTAGCATACCACTCTGAACATTTAAAACAAAAAAGTCAAATCGATATGTGCAATATTAAAGAAATTAGGTTTTCATAGTTTTTTGTTAAAGTCTACGCTCTGCTTATTACACATAGCTGTGAATACGTTATTTCTTACTAAACTATATTTCCCAACCGAACTCTATAAATTTATATTTTCCTGGTAGATAATATCACACCCACACAGAATTGCAATGTTTATCAAATTTTGACCAAACATTGAAGTTTAATATTTTATCATTAATTAATATTTGAGATCCATTGATGGTGCATTTTTAAATGTTAATAGTTTTTGGGTAAATGTGTTGTGAACAAGAATTTATCTTTGTAGTAATAGTGTTTATTAATATTAATTAATTTTAAGAATTAAAATTTATCAAAAGTTTATTAAACATTTTTCAACATCAACCCAAAGTTGTATTAATTTTCAATTTCATTATTTTTGACATTAACTTGCCATTGATATTTAATGTATACTAATAATTAAATTCAATATTGATTTAACAATTGATAT